TCATGTTTTCTAATAGTGTATGTCCTAAATTTAACGTTTAACCTGTTAAGTGTGTTTGACGTGTATACACGTCAAACCAAATCTCTATTACGGTGCGTTCGACGTGTATACTCGTCGTGAAAAATATAAAATTACCATCGATTATAAAAACTCGAAATTTTAATAAAATACAACAAGAATATTATTTTATTGTTTCTTTTATATTACCAATAGAACTGCTAAGTATTTTATACGGAGGTGGTGGGAGTCAGCCAAATGATAAGTGGTTGGTACATGTTTGGTCTCCACATTAGAGATTGTGGTGGACTGATTTTAATTCTGCACACTGTGGGGGCTTTTTAAAACTAAATTCTACGCTTAACAGGTTAAAATCACCTCAGGAACCTCCCATTAAAATGTGTACCGCTAGTCCTGGGACACCCTGTATATGCACTTCTATAACTTCGGAATCTTTTGTAAAATTTTGTAAAAGTTTTGTCTTATTGAGCAGAAAAAGCAATACTGGTACTGTCTAGGAACCTTCCTGATGCCAGGACCTGTCTGGGACGGGTAAAAAACGGATTACATATATAAATAAAACATGTAAGAATCGAAAATTGATATTTTACCATTATCACTTGTGAAAGTAATCTATTAATACGCTTGTTACGTGGGTTTTCTAGGTTGTACGTTTCCCGATAAATTTATAAAGTATTCGTGCCACCGCCAAAAAATGTTTAACAGTTGTAACAACAATGTGACATCTGTGCCTTCCGAACTTGTCTTTTATTGGACACCTAGCATAGTTTTAATTTTCTTAGCTTATCTAACGTTTAGTCTGCTTTGGACTGCTTATTCAAGAGCATACTCACGACTGCGCATTCTAAACATACATAAGTTAAGTTTGTATGCAGGGTGTCTTAGAACTGGTGATACATTTTTTTAATGAAGGTTCCTAAGATGATTTTGAACAATATTTCCCTTTGTCAAAATGTTGTTCGAGGCGTGGTTGTCGAGTTATTAACGAAAAACGCCCGACCAATCAGAGCGTCCGTATAGCGGGCGACCAGGGGAGCGATAACCGTGCGTCGCCGCGCCCGATGCGACGCTCGTGACGAGAACGTAGGATTAAAACAATAGTTACATGCAAGAGCAACTAAGAAATTGTTTAAATATTACAGAAAACAAAGCAATTAGTCGTTAGTTACGTTCGCTAAATAAATGTAACATACTCAATGAAATAACTAACAACTTTATAAATTACAGAGTAGCTAAAATTATAAAAAATGGAAAGAGAATTAGAGTTGAACTTAATCGTCGTTCGTCTTTGAGTTTACCTGCTCCTAGAAGAACGTCACTAGGTCAATGTGCCGAACCCCGATACTTGAAAATAACACACATGGGCAGCAGTGATGTTTCGAGCAGGTCATTGATAAACAATCAAGTCTCGAATTCCGATTCAGGATCAATTTGAGAATGGAACATCCGTACTTCTTTCTCTCGCTATATACATATATTAGCGTAACAAAAGTAAAGCAAGTGAATCTTACACGTTAATTTTTATTTATTCCATTTTTCTGGGTCGAAGGTCATTCAAAGGTCACATTGTGATACATAATTGAACTCGTTTAAATGTCGGCTACAATTACACAAGGAGAAAAGTATGCAGTTCGATGTAAAAAAATCGTTAGTGACCTTAAAAAAAAAAACCGAAAAACGTGATACAACAAAAAATAACGTTATGATGGCGATGTGCGTTCTTCGAAATTATTCAAGTTCCCATGTAGCTGAATTTCGTACCTTTAAATCCAACAATGGTATTCAAGTGTTCTGGGTCTCCTGACTCACCCTGTATAAGCCACCCTTGAAGGCAAAGAAATGAAAATTTTGACAAAGAAGGTCATCCGAAGGTCATGGTATCTAAGTCGTTGAGTTTGTCTTGATACGGACTATAATACTGTTAAGTCAAAAATACAAAGTGCCATTTAAAAAAATGAACGTGATTTTGACAATAGTAAAAAATATTTTCTTTCCAACTTTTTTTCTTGCAATGTATAGCCATTCGAAAACTGATCAACTTTTGTTGATAATATTTTTTTGTCAGATTGTCGCAAGTACTTGAAAAATCGTGAAAAGTGTTATATGGGACACCCTGTATATATATATAGAGAGAGAGAATAAAGAAAGGGCGATGTATACGCGTACATACATTCACGGACACGCGTCAGACGAGTCTCTCGCTGGAAATCGTGACAGGTGTGTAAACATGTCTTCCTTCATAATCTATCATCAATTTAATGATCCGTTTCACATGATTAAAATGCATCGTAACAGCCAGTCTGTCTGTAAACTAAAAAGTCTATAGGCGAGACTAACGTGGCAACTAATACTAATTATAAGGATCGATTGTTATAATAATCCACTTAATTAATAATAAAACAAGCACGAACAAGCGTCAGAACGTCAGAACAATCTTTGTGGATTTCAAAATCGGAAACTTCTAATAGACATTAAATCCAGCATCGCGCGTGTTTATGTATCTCATAGACCGTGGACAATCCTCGAAGCCCGTTAAACTGTCTCTAGACCACTCGATAAAACTGCAATGTCCGCTGTCGAGGTCGACCACTGTTAAATGACTGTGCTCTCGTGGTTCATCACGGATAAATGAACGCTCGGCTTTTATTCGTTCGAATATGGATCGGTGCGCTCTTCCTAGTAGTTCCGTTTAATCTTCCAAAGTGACGTTCTTGAATAAGTAGGACATGGATTCCTTGTTGTGAATACGTCTGATCGCTTCTGCCAGCAGGATGCTGATGTCCACTGTCTTTATTTTCGGACACTGCATCTTCTGGACATCGTGGGGCACCGTGTTCGTCACCACCACCTGAGGAGAACATCGAGATTAATCCAGGGTCTCCTAGGAAGAGGATGTAAAATTTCATTAGGATTTAAATAATACCTCGTCGATCGGTGATTCCTCGATCAGTCTGGGGGCGTCAGAGCTCAGAAGACCATGGGTAGCAAGAACGTAGATCTTGTACGCCCCCCTTTCCTTAAGAACCTCCGCGGCAGCTACGTAAGACTGTACGTCGTCGATCATATCATCCTAAGACCAAAAAGAAATATAAATAATCGTCAAAGATGTTAATCATTAAATCTAATAATAGCGTATCGCCATGATCGTGATGCTAAATAATTGTGAAGGATCTTAACGTTCCATTGAATTTGATAATAACGTACAACCATAATCGCGATGCGACCTCCCACATCTCCTACAACGTTGATCGGTGGCTTCTCCTTAGCTGGATGCATTGGAACTCCCACGCCTACTTCCATAGTCCTCGAAGCCAATGCCGGAGGAGAGTAACGTCCGTCGTTCATATCTGATTCGGCCTCTCTCTGTTCTCCGTGAATCACTGCTATTCCTAAACGGAGCCTCTCAGCGTAGCTTGTCGCTTTCTTCGCACTTCCCGGGTTCCTGGCTACTATTACCGAGTTGTGATAATCAGGAATCTATTTTAAGAAATTATTTCATTCAAAAATAATATTACATTCAATAGGTTTATAGGATGATTATTGAACATCTACGCACGGATTCTTGTATGTACTGTAACAGGAATGGGCTGGCCCTCAGATTATCTACTGGCACGTCGAAGAATCCTTGAATCTCCTTCTGGTGGAGGTCCATCGTAATTATATGTGTCAGTCCGCTCTTGCACAGCATCTTCGCTAGCAGCTTCGACACAATGCAACCTCGCTTTCGCATTTTGCACTGCTTAGAATAAGGTAAATAAGGGATGACTCCGACTATGTTCTTAGCCGACGAAGTCTTGCAGGCATACGCCATTATTAATAACTCCATTATGTTGTTGTTCACATCTTTGGTCCCCGTTTGGATTATGTATAAATCCTTGCTGCGCACCGAGTCGCTGATTTCTACCATGGTTTCACGGTTCGATTTGTGGTACACGGAACATGCCCCATGCTTCACTCCCAATCGACTGGAATCAGAGTTTTTATTATGCATTAAACATTTAAAATCGTCAAAATTTTATCCGGAATATATTTTGTACGGATATTTACTTTGCGATCAGGTTCGCTAGTTCCGGATGCGAGTTACCAGCGATTAAGACGATGTCCGATGACACCGGTTTGTCCATTTTATTTCTTCGTTTTCAGTGACCTGTACAATTGGAAACTTGTTGAATCATTAAAGTATTGTCTTTCAAGTATTGTTTGAATAATGGCTGCCTAAGAACGAGACTTGCGTGTATTTTAATAATGATGCTAACTTTAATCGATTGAAAGTGATATAGCTACGAGCTCGAGGTATTTACTAAATACCTCGTAAACGTTGGGAACGGTTAACCCCGAATTACATATTAAACTCAACGAAGCTAAAACGAAACTAACACTGTATGTACCATGAATACACACATGTAACGTTCTATTTTAATTTGTTTATTCGAATCTTGTTTAATCAATTATCTTATTTAACGGTTTTATCCCTTATTCGTTCTTGATGATCACGATTCGAGATGGCGTTGAAAACCACTAATCTATACTAATTAAATTAGAGATGAGAACGAGAACCAGTGGTGGCAGGTCTATGAGTGTCGGGCACATGGTTGTGTACCATGGACTTAAAGGACGGTGCATAGTCGAGGGGAACGGCTCCCAAAAGCGGA